GAGCGGCCTTCCCTGTCCCCCCGCCAAGGGCGGGAGTGGGCGGAAGGGATTTACTAAGGGAATGGGGATGCAGAGGAGAAGGATCATGATGACGATGATGATGTTGATGATGACGACGACGACGACAACGACGGTGGCGATGACGATGACGATAACGATGACGCTGATGTCGATGACGATGAAAATGACGACGACGATGACGATGACGATGATGCTGATGCTGATGATGATGATGATGAAGAAGATGCTGATGATGCTGATGATGGTGATGATGTTGCAGATGACGGTGACGATGATACTGATGATGCTGATTGTATGATGATGATGCTGATTATGATGATGAGGATGAGGTGGCTGGTGATGATGATGAGGATGACGATCGTGATGGTGATGGTGATGGTGATGGTGATGCTGATGGTGATGATGATGATGATGATGATGATGCTGCTGCTGATGATGATGATGATGATGATGATGATGATGATGATGATGATGACAACGCTGTGATGATAGTGATGATTATGATGCTGATTGTGGTAGAGGTGATGATGAGGCTGATGGTGACGACGACGACGACGACGACGACGACGACGGTGTGATGATGATGACGATGACTATGATGATGGCGACGATAATGCTGCTGATGATGATAATGATGATGACGATGCGGATGAGGATGATGATGAAAGTGGTGATCCTGATGTTGTTGATGCTGATGACAATGCCGACGATAATGATGGTGATGACGATGCTGCTGCTGCTGATGATGATAATGGTGATGGTGGTGGTGGTGGTGGGATGATGATGATATTCATGGTGATGATGCTGATGATGATCATAATCATGGTGTTGATGATGATGACGATGTCCACGGTACTGATGATGATGGTGATGCTAATGCTGATGACGCTGCTGATAATGGTGGTGATGATGATACTGCTGCGACAGCTGATGGTGATGTTGATAACAATAATGACGATGAGGAGGGGTGATGGCGGGGCTGACAATGACGATGAAGATGACGATGAAGATGATGATGATGATGATGATGATGATGATGATGATGATGATGATGATGATGTTGTTGATGATGATGATGATCATGCTGATGATGCTGATGATAATGATGATGATGATGATGATGATGATGATGATGATGCTGATGATGATGATGGTGGCGGTGATCATGATGATCACGATGACTATGACGATGGTGATGGTGATTGTGATGATGATGGTGACAATAATGATGATGCTGCTGCTGCTGATGATGATGATGATGATGATGACGACGATGATGATGATGACAATGATACTGGTGGTGGTGGTGGTTGTGGTGGTTGTGGCGGTTGTGGCGGTGACGATGCTGATGATGATGATGATGATGATGACGGTGATGCTGGTGTTGATGCTCATGATGATGATGATGATGATGATGATGATGATGACGATGACGATGATGATGATGATGATGATGATGATGATGATGATGATGATGATGATGATGATGATGATGATGGTGGTGGTGGTGGTGGTGGTGGTGGTTGTGATGATGATGATGATGATGATGCTGATGATGATGATGATGGTGGTGGTGGTGGTGGTGGTGATCATGATGATGATGATGATGATGATGATGATGATGATGATGATGATGATGGTGGTGGTGGTGGTGGTGGTGGCATTGATGATGCGAATAACCAGCCTGTCTGGGGCGTCCAGAGGCGGGGACCTCCGGGGACCTGCATGCCAGGGGCCTCTGGGCTCTGGGGACTTCTGGAGACCTCCCACTGGGGACCTTTGGGGACGGCCCTCGTCGTGGGCCTCGAAGAGGCCTTCCGGAGACTTCGTTTTTGTAGTTGAAGGCGACAGGCTGCCACTGGCCTGGACACCCTCGGCCGAAGGCCGAGAAAAGTAGTAGAGGGTGCGTAAGATACCAGCCAAGAATCGCCTGAAGCCACTCCCAGCCTGTGTCAAAACCTATGGCACGACCCCCACAAGCTAATCAAAACACCAACTCAACCGAATGATACCGGAGAAAAAACCCAATCATATTTTTCCCAACCATCCTGTGGTGTTGGGTCCTGGTTTTGAAGAGACAGCGCCCCGCGTCCCACCTTCCTCCTCCTTCCTCCTTCCTCCTTCCTCCTCCTCCCCCTCCTCCCTCTCGTCCTCCCACTCCTCCCTCCTTCCCCTCTTCCCTGCGTTTCACCCACCCAGGGCAGCGTCTCGTAGCCCCATACGGAGCTCCACCGAAGGCCCCAGTGGGGGTGCCCGCATGCGGTTCCCCCACCCAGGGCAGCGCTCCGTGGCCCCATAGGGAGCTCCACCGAAGGCCCCAGTGGGGGTGCTCGCATGCGGTTCCCCCACGCAGGGCAGCGTTTCGTAGCCCCATAGGGAGCTCCACCGAAGGCTCCAGAGGGGGTGCCCGCATGCGGTTCCCCCACCCAGGGCAGCGTTCCGTAGCCCCATAGGGGGCTCCACCGAAGGCCCCAGTGGGGGTGCCCGCATGCGGTTCCCCCACCCAGGGCAGCGTTCCGTAGCCCCATGGGGAGCTCCACCGAAGGCCTCAGTGGGGGTGCCCGCATGCGGTTCCCCCACCCAGGGCAGCGTTTCTTGGCTCCATAGGGAGCGCCACCGAAGGCCCCAGTGGGGGTGCCTGAATGCGGTTCCCCCACGCAGGGCAGCGTTCCGTAGCCCCATGGGGAGCTCCACCGAAGGCCTCAGTGGGGGTGCCCGCATGTGGTTCCCCCACCCAGGGCAGCGTTTCTTGGCTCCATAGGGAGCTCCACCGAAGGCCCCAGTGGGGGTGCTCGCGTGCGTCTCCCCCGCCCAGGGCGCCGCTTCGTGGCCCCATAGGGAGCTCCTCCGAAGGCCCCAGTTGGGGGTGCCCGCGTGCGGTTCCCCTGCCCAGGGCGGCGTTTCGCAGCCCCATAGGGAGCCCCACCGAAGGCCCCAGTGGGGGTGCCGCATGCGGTTCCCCCACCCAGGGCAGCGTTCCGTAGCCCCATAGGGAACCCCACCGAAGGCCCCAGTGGGGGTGCCCGCATGCGGTTCCCCCACCCAGGGCAGCGTTTCGTAGCCCCATACGGAGCTCCACCGACGGCCCCAGTGGGGGTGCTTGAATGCGGTTCCCCCACCCAGGGCAGCGTTTCGTAGCCCCATAGGGAGCTCCACCGAAGGCCCCAGTGGGGATGCCTGCAATGCGGTTCCCCCACCCAGGGCAGCGTTTCGTAGCCCCATAGGGAGCTCCACCGAAGGCCCCAGCGGGGGTGCCCGCATGCGGTTCCCCCACCCAGGGCAGCGTTTCGTAGCCCCATAGGGAGCTCCACCGAAGGCCCCAGTGGGGGTGCCCGCATGCGGTTCCCCACCCAGGGCAGCGTTTCGTAACCCCATAGGGAGCTCCACCGAAGGCCCCAGTGGGGGTGCCCGCATGCGGTTCCCCACCCACCCGTAGGGCAGCGTGGGGGTTCTGGGCCCCACCCAGAGGGTTTCTGGGCCCCAGAGGGAGCTCCACCGAAGGCCCCAGTGGGGGTGCCCGCATGCGGTTCCCCCACCCAGGGCAGCGTTTCGTAGCCCCATAGGGAACTCCACCGAAGGCCCCAGTGGGGGTGCCCGCATGCGGTTCCTCACCCAGGGCAGCGTTCCGTAGCCCAATAGGGAGCTCCACCGAAGGCCCCATTGGGGGTGCCCGCATGCGGTTCCCCCACCCAGGGCAGCGTTCCGTAGCCCAATAGGGAGCCCCACCGAAGGCCCCTGTGGGGGTGCCCGCGTTCCCCTACCCAGGACAGCGTTTCGTAGCCCCATGGGGAGCTCCACCGATCAGTGCTTACCAGCCAATCGGGACCGAACCCACCGCGCCTCTGGAGAGTGTCGAGGGCTGCGGTCCGCGGCAGCCCATGGGCGGGCGCGCGTTGAGTTCTTTGTTGGGCGCGGGCAGAAGCGAGATGAACCGACGTATGCCAGCGCGTCCGCAGCGCTTGAGGCTGGTGATTCCGTCGATGGTTATAGCGCGCGCGAGCTTGGCGGCTCTCATTGCCAGCGTTGCCAGACAGGGAATTGCAAGTCCGCGCTCGCCCCTCAGGGCCTGGTCCCGTTCCGAACAAACATTGCTGTCCATTTAAACATTTGGTGCGGTGTGCCTTTGGAGGCCTCGCGATGGCTCGGCGCTGATCGGGGATTCCTTGCAGCGCGAGGCGGTGCGAGCATCGCGCGGGCGCGTTGGCGGGTGATCCCGCTAACTGCTTGGCGCAGCTTGTATTTTTGTGATTGTCGTCTTGCGCGTGCAATGTGCCCGGTGTGGCCACTGTGCCTCGCGTGCCTGGCGCCCCGCTGGTTTGCCTGGCGCGCGCGGCGCGCGCGCTTGCCGCGGGTTGCCTTCGATGTTTGTTTGCTTGTGTTCCCTGCCCTCCCGCATTTTCGGCCCTCGCTTTGAATTCGCGGCGCTTCGCGCCATACCTTTTCTCCTCTACTCTCCCCCCCTCTCCTCGTCCTCCTCTTCCTGATATTGTTCCTCCCCGGTTCGTTTCCTCATCGTCCGTCCCCTTCCTTCCTTCTTGCGCGGTAGGCTTTCGGTTTGTAGCCGCGCCGAGGCAATTTCAGCACGCCCTTCGCGCCGCGCGCTGTTCGTTGTCCCCATGCGGCTTTACATTGAAAGTCCCTGTGGTGTAAGGCGTATGCTGACGCCGCAACAAGTCTAGCACGCGTTATGGCCCCGTGCGCATCCCTGCCGACGCGTCGTGGTCGCGCGCCGCCTCGCCGACCATTCCAGAACCATGTTCACTATGTCGGTTGCCTCATAAGGAGCTCAACCGATATCCCACAGAACACAGGCCGCACGCCGCCGCCCAGACTCTTTGAGGGCCGTTTTTCTCGCGGCTCGCGTCTCCATATTTTTGGAGTTCCATTGAAGGCCCCTGCCGCACAGGCCGCGAGCCTCGTCCGGGCCATTTCAACGCGCCCGCCGCGCCATTCGTGGCCCCATAGGGACTGCCACCGGA